AGGAGAAAAAGCAACTTTCAGGAACCACAATGAATCATTCTGTAGAAATTATGAGAGGAAGATTTGAGAAGGATTAGAGAAGTAACTGAAAGGGAAGATGAGAGAAAGGCCGTAGAAATTCTCCGTTAAACTGTGCTGAGCTGTTTTTATGTTAAAGATGAGTTGGCCTACTTTAATGAGGTGTAAACGTTTGATTGGTTCGGGATCACGTCAGTAAACATTAAAAAAAAGCTACAAACCCTAGCGCGAGCAGCCGATTCACGGGGTGGGTTGGAGACTGTGTAGGTACCTACAAGGATCACGTCGGTATATGAGTTATTGGTCCTCGCGCCACCGGCCGGAGTTTGCAGAATTTTACCGACAAGGAGCACATGTGTATATCATTAAATTACCGATGAAGATTTTATCTGAACTTTAAATAATATAAATTATTGTAATTTTTACTGTTATTACATTTATAGATATGTTTCCGGTCGGTAAAGTGCTCATTTATCGATAACAATTTTTACGTTGGTGATTTGGGGTCGGTGATTTTGAGTTTTCTTGTAGTGACGTCTTTTTTTGGACGTTATTGAAAATTGCAAGGTGTAATTACACGTTTACATTATAAAAAATATATATATTTAATGGATTGTAATGTTATGTTGTAACTTAACTGATGGAAAGATAGAAAAAGGGTTAAATTTTAAATTTTAAAAATTAATAAAAAAAATTTTTGAATACAAAATTTTAAAATTTTTTATTAAAATAAAGGAAAAAAAATTTTTTAACCTAGCTTAAATGTAAGCATTGACGTGACCCAAACCATGAGCGGTTGATGGTCAGCGAGTGCAAAGGGTCGGTGCCCTAGCACTAGACACGGCAAACTGATGGGTTGAGTCAGTTTGGATTGAATTAACTAAGTAACGAGTTATACGAGTTGAGTCGTAAATAGGTTGTAAATTAAAAAACTTTAATTTTAATTTGATTTTAATGGATTATGGATTAATTCATAGATTAATTTTATTTTTATTTTTTATAATTATTTTTATTAATTTTATTATATACAAATAAAATTATATATATGTAAACCAAATTAAAGTATTGTAACTTATCAATACTAAGTATTCTATGGTCTCAACTACAAACATTTAAATTAAGAAACAATCATAAAGTTATAAATAATAGTAAATTGATTAACAATATTAAATTTAAAATATTTAAATTTTTTAGAAAATAAAGTTTTAATTTTACAATCATTTTGAAACATTATCAAGGAGTTTAAGTTCCTTTTTTAATTATAAAATTGCTCTTCCAAAAGCATCCTTCACTAAATTATTATGTTTATATCCTAGCATTACATATTTAATATTTTTAGTTGCATTATCATTTAATTCATGATACTTAGTAATTAATTCAAACCCACATAATTTCTAGAGAAAGAAGAAGACATTATAATGAGTAAACATTCATTCAAAACCATTTGAGTAATGAAAACGATGTTAAAGAGTATGAATTAATGACGAGAGTTATCACTGAAAAAATCAATTAAAAATAATAAGTATAATATTTTTAAAAATAATAATAATAAATAAAACAAACAGGTCAACTCATGAACTCATCAACTCATGGGTTGACCCTAACCTGACTCGTGATCTGTACAAAATGATATTACAAATTATTTACGGATTGCAAGTTAAGATATGTAAATCCTAACTCGTTTTTACAGGTTAATTTAGGATTGGGTTAACGATTCGAGGGAATTTTTACCACCCCTACCTAGTACTGTTCTTTCAAGAAAGGCTTTCGTGCATCACTGATTAGTATGGAATTTTGTCTCATTATTTTAATTTCAGTTTCCATCATGATTAATATGAACAAATTTTGTTAATAAAAGATCGGATGAAGCTTAACTAGGGTAATGTAGAACTCTAATTTTTATTTTAATTGAGGTTGTTGTTTTATGTGAGTAGATATTATTTTGTTTAATTTTTTAAATGATTGGTTACCATTTAAATTGATTTAAAGAATATAATTGAGATCAAAAAAAGATTTTGTACAATAATTTCTAATAACATATGCCATAAATTGAACAACAACAAAAAATATACTAATGTAATTTAAACAATATTAATAATGAGTTGACCCACAAAATTCAATTTAAACTAAAGAGTTTTAGAGAACTTAATACACTTTTACTTATTTAAATTCATAATATAGTGAGTTAATAAGTAAAAGTAAATTTAGTATAATTTGAAAAAGAATATCAAATAAATCAAAAGATCATGCTATCATATGAATAGAATTTCAAATGCATATAAATCTTAAATTTATATTGTTTGATTATAGTTAAGTCATATGACTTAATATGTTTTGTCGTGCTCAAATCTTAAATTTTTTTATTTATTTGTTTTTTAATTTGTTTCTTTTAGGTGCTTTTACTTTAAATTTAAAATTTTACTTTTATTGTTTAACTAAGTTTGAAATTATTTATTTTTAATATTTAATTAATCATTAATTCTTATAAAAATAATACTTTTTTTGGGGCAATATAAAAATAATACTTTACTTATCCTTATAGTATTTAAAGTGGTATGTGCAATTAGTGTTGAGTTTGCCCCATCAAATACCTTGTACGCTGATTTGAAGTGTGCTGGACGGGAGTGGTTGTACAGAGGGGCAACACTCTCTGGTTTTTTAGTATTCTTAATTTGAACTTGTATAATTAAAAAAATAATGTAAGAAACAATTAAAAATATAAAAATTAATTTCATTTTTATTACCATATTTCAAACACTAAATACTAACGAATTTACAAGCCTACATGTATATATTGATCTTATTTTTATCGTATCTCTTAAATGTAAGTGTAAAATTAATCGTACTTACATGTAAACAATAATTTCATTTTTACTTTAAAAACATAAAAGTAAAATAAGAACTAATCAATGTACACAAAAACGAAATTCAACACTCCAGCAAAATGAAAAGGTAAAATTACCAAAAAAAAAAAAAAGAAACAGAATGAAAAGGAAAAGGATGAGAAAAAGGTTCTAATTTTATTGTTTGCGAATTCAATAACTGTGCAAAAAAATAAAGGGCCTTGTTGCTGGAAAGCCCAATACTAGTTCAGACGAGGTTTTTTAGTTATCATTCTTAATTTTCCTCTATTTAAAAGTAAAATAAGAAATGACAATGATATTAAAATAATTTTTATATGTTACTAAATAAATATATATTTAATATTATAAATTTTAAATAAATAAAAAAAGTTATTTATTTAAATAACACAAAATTATATCAAAAAATAATTTAAAAAATTACCATGAATAATTTTCAAATAAGATATTAGGAATGTACGGCAAGAACGAAATTGATAAACACTCAGCAGAATGAAAAGGAAAAGAAGGCACTAATATGAGAGTCGTGCAATTTTACTTACGAGTTACGAGCGGACGTACATGCTATGTGGCTAACGAACTTAATTAGTTAATTTCTGGTTGTGGATCTTACTTTTTGGCTGACGTGGGAAAAGGGACAGCGTGTGTGATGACATGAATGATGACATGTACAATAGATTAAAAAAAGAGCAGAAAGAAAAATAATTCTTGGGATATTTTTTTATTTTATCTTTTAATATAATTTTATATATTATTTAAATAATTAATTTTTTATTTATTTAAAACTCATAATATTAAATTTAGTTTTTTATTTTATAACATATAAAAATTATATAAAATATTATAAAAAAATTATCCGTCCATTAGGGGAACGCATATAAAGATGGTAATTTACTCCAACCTTGTGGGGATCCCCTCCATGAGAAGAATATTTTTTTTTGCGGGTGGGAACAAGAAATATTTTTCTCGTGAAATCACGTGAAAATTTTTTCTTGCTCGTTTTATGGAATCCCATTTCCGTAAAAAATTTAAAAATATATAATTTAATTTAATTTTAAATTTAATTTAATTCATTATAACAATACATAATATATATTTTAAACTTAAATCCAATCCAATAAAAATTAAACTTAACTCAAATATGTTTATTTAACTATTTATATTAAATTGATTTTTATTTATATTTAGAACAAATCTTTTAATTTAATTATTTATGTTGAATTGATTTTTATTTATATTTGGATAATTTATATTTAATTTTATATTTAAAAATTTTTAATTAATTGTATTTGAATTTTTAATATTTTATTTATTATAATTAAATATTATTAATTATATGTAAAAAATTTTATATTTTGATATAAATTAATGAAAAATAAGGATAAAGGAAAAATCTACCCATCAAAAATGCTCACAGGATCTTCATCCCCGCCATTCATGGGGACAAGAATAGGCAGCGGCTCCCCGACCCCATCGTACCCCGTCGCCATCTCTAAACACTTAGGCTGGTAGCCAGCCAAGACCATTTCATCAATAAACAAAACTCTCTCTTTTTTCTTTTTCACCTCTTCTTAGATTTCCCCAAATTCGCGTTTTCCCCAAATTCACTTGCTTTTCTTTCCTTCTCCATTTTTACCAAATTCTCATTAGGGTCTTCAGAATCCATAGGTCCAAAGACATCCTTGGTGCGGATCAGTGGGAACTAGGTTCTGGTTAATAGGAAAGACATTTTTCTTTCATTTGTGGTGCCGAAAAAAAAAAAAATAAACAACCAGGATCCGGTCAGTAGGAAAGAGGACATGTTCATTTTTGGTGCAAATTGTCTTGCGATTGGCACCTCAGCTTGTTGATCTCCTGAACTCAATGAAAGAAAAGAAAGGCAAGATGATCGTCTGATTACTGAACTTAAGGCTGAGTAGGAGATGATTGTAGTGCTGAAATTTTGTCATTGAAGTGTAAGTTGCAGATAAAAGGTTTAAAACTGAAAAGTGCGGAGAAAACTTGACAAGGCAAAGTAAAAAAAAAAAAAGCAAAGAAAATCAACAAAATGCAGAATTTTGGTTGAAGTGTTTTGTTGTGGCCATGATATGCTTTTCTACACTGTTACTGTGTAAACTTGTTTAAGATAAAATAAGGATTTAAGCGCTAAGCTGCTGAAATGTTTTCTGTATCTAAATTTGAGGGTAGATTTGCCCCAAAAACAACAATGTACCCCACTTAGTCATATCTAATGTATTTTGACTTGATGAACTGGTATCTAGCACTTGTTGGACAAAACTCTGAGTTATATCTATCAGAGATGCTGAATTTAAATGCAACAAAGACAATTAACTTTCACATGATAATAGAGATACATTATGCTCCCAAATAGATATAATGGCTTCCATGTCGTCATCAAGAAGCAAGCAACCGAGATGACAGGTCCCACGTAAACACCACCTGCAATTGGAGCCCACATTGACAGCTCGTCCAACTGCATGGCCTCCATGTCATCATCAGGAAGGAAGTATTTTCACATTGATCAGTTTGTCTATATTTCTCTCTGTTGGTTTGCTTGCCTTCTAACTACTATGTTGCAATCTCTGTAATCTTACTTGTTTCATTTTAGTCCCTAATGTTCGTTCTAGCTCCATTTATCTTTTTCTTCTCAGTTATTATGATGCCTCTTTTGTTACTTAATAACATAAAATATCGAAAATACTACATATTTTGAGAGTTGGTTAGAATATAAGGAAGATAATCATATATATGTGGGCTGCAGCTAATAATTTTATGTTCATAGAAATGAGTTAAATAAAATATTCTTAAAACTTAAAAAAAATTATGTGATTTTAAGTGGGTGTAGATTTTATCTTATTTTTATATGTATATTATTTTATTGTAATACGAAAATGTTTAGAGCTTGAGATTAAAGTGGATTGCTTGATAGCATCCCGAAAAAACTAATGAGTTAGGTTCTCTCTCATTCAAAAAAAACTTTCAATTATCATTATATAAAAAAATGAATAGGGAGAGCAAGACTCAAGTTTCAATACTAACGATATTTACTTTATTTATTTTGTAAATTTTATATGATTATTATGTAGGTAATTAATTATGGAGATCCATACATGCATTTATTGATTTGGTGCATTATTTTTAAAGATTTGGATTATTTGAGGTTTTGAAATTTAATTTTTGTGATTAATTATAAAGTTTATCTGATTTATGTTACAGGGGCACAAGTTAAAAATGTATTAAATATATTTTTTTGTCATAAATTTATATTGAAAAAATAAAAATCAACTTTTAATTTATTAATTATTTAATTAAATTCACTTGATACTAAAAGTAATATCACTTTTTATATTTATTTATACATATTTATAATAAAAAAAATTCTTAACTTGTATTTTAAGGACACAAAGTAAAAAAATCCTTAATTATATAATTAAAGGCAACAAGCATTCTTTACATGACATTTTTTAACTTGGGAATCTCTTTGATGTATACAAGAGACTTTCTTTCTTGTCTAATTTCGCTAACGGCTCCCATTAATTGGAAGGACAATTTGAAATGAAGTAAAGAAGTTAGCTGTTAGAATGAGGCAAATGAGAAGCTAATGACTAAAACAAGACTCGATTAAAGAATTGAGGACAACAACAAATTGACTCTTTTGACATTTTAATCTTTCTTGGAAGAGGAATCTAAGCAATTAATTGTCTCTGCTGTCAATTCCACCTCACTATAAATCTGTGTTCATTTTACAGAAAAAGTGATTTAGAATTGGCCATTAAGATGAAAAGGGGCATCCCATGCATTTTGATTGAATGAGGAACCCCTCTCCACGAGAAAAGCTACAAATAAATATATGAATTTTGTTATTTTTATTTAAAAATATAAACTTTGTTCACTTTTAAATAAAATGATAAATTTTTTATTTTTACATAAAGATGTCAATTTTGTGTTTTTTTTTTTTCTCTTTAAAAATTAATTGGATAGTGATGTTCCTATGACAAATGACTTTTTACTCATCCAATCAATTTTTAAATAAAAAAATATAAAACTGGCATTGTTAAATAGAAAAAAACTAAAAATTTATTGTCTTATTCAAAAATTAATGAAGTTCACATTCTTAAATTAAAAAAAAAATTAAAAAACAAAATTTATATTTTAATCTGCACATTTTCTCCTCTTTTCACTATAAATTAATGGGTTTTTGAGATTTGGTTGTGTTTTCCCTTTATATGGAAAATTTGTAATCTTTGAATTGAGGGTTTTGAATTCTCTGTATTGAAGTGTGACGCATGTGAGTAGTTGTAAGTGGAGGCCACAATCCCTCTGTTTTTTATTATTCTTAATTTGAACTCGTACAATTTAAAAAAATAGAAATTAACTTCATTTTCATAACCATCTTTCAAACACTAAATATTAATGGGTTTATACGCCTTCACGTGTATATATATATTATCTGACTTTTATCATATTTTTTAGGTTAAACTCCCTTTTTGGTCCCTCAACTATTGTATGGGCCTCCGATTGAGTCCCTTAACTCAAAAAATCCCTAATTTAGTCCCTACTGTTTACTATTTTAACCCCGATTTGGTCCCCACCGTTAAAAATGCATGATGTGTCCTATTAATTCACGGTGACACTATCACATGTCAAAATACGTGGAAGACAACATGGCAAACAAATAATGATATGATAAAAAATATTAACATGGTAAAAAATATTAATATGACAAAAAAAAAAAAAAAACTTAAAAAACTCCTTTTTTTTTTTTTCCCTTTCTCCTTCCCATTCTCTTTCCATTGGGGTCATGGGTTCTTGGGTTCCTTGGAACCCAGGTGCTGGGGTTCCTTGGAACCCAGGTGCTGGGGTTCCTTTGAACCCGACGTTGGGTTTGAAGGAGCCCAACGCCTGGGTT